GTTCATCTGCTGAGGGAGGGTATATAATAGTGGCATTTCCCTGGGAGCAGAACAGAAATTTCAGCTGGGTCTTCAAAGCTGTTGCGTGAGACAGAAGTGGGTGGGAGGCAAAAGGGGCTCCGAGAATTTTATACTACACAGAAAGCTCGGAAAGAGCACCAGAGGAGGAGGTTTTCCAGGCAGAGTGGCCCAAGGAACATGGTTGCATAGGAGGTAGAGAGAAAACAGCACATGTATGAACACTTCCCCATAGGGAGTTTGCTCCAGTGGCAATCTTGTCCACTAGCACACTGCACCCGCTCTGACGCCTGTGGGTGTTTTGAGCCCCATGGAGATGGAGGAGACTTGCTTAGCAATTATCAGCAAGGAGTCTTTTGGCTTGTGTTAAGCGTATCTCCTCTTTGTTAATATCCCTTAATGGATAGGATCTCCCTTAACATTTGTTTCTCTCATTGCAAGGAAGGCTGAAGGCTTGGGCAGTCAGAGAGAGGCAGTCCCAATATGCTGTTAACCATTCAGAGCATTGCGAGCTGTATTGGCTTGTTTTGGGTGGGTATTCTTGAATCCAGTAAAACAGGTTGCTTTTTCCCAGCATATCTCACTGTAATCAATTCTGGTGAAACATTAGAAGGCAACTCTCAGAATGTGATTGAACAGATTAATTTCTTTAATAAACCAGTTTACTAAGACTCTCCTCTTCCACCTCATACACAGCACAGTATGACTATAGGTTTCTCTCAGTTATTTTGGAAATTTCACAATCTGCGTAGCAGACTCTGAGCTTGATTCTATTATTGTCAGAGGTTTTTTTTTGGTTGGTTTCTGTGAACGGGTAATTGGGTGGAGCAGTTCAGAAGTGTGATTTTTCTGTCCTTGTGCTGTTAGTCAGGCCAGGTCGACAGAAGTAACCAGGTAGCTGAGTTCCCATATCAGGTCTCTAGCGTGCATCTTGCAGTGTACAACCAGTCCCTGAATTAGGACTTAGATCTTCCCTGTGATATGTTTACTCAGGTTACTCTCTGTGGATCATTTCTCTTTGATTTAGTTCTGTGCTAAAAACCTCTCTGAGCTGGAAGTTATTCTTCATGTGTGTTTAAGCCAGGTTCTTGCCCTGTGCCAGTAACTTTGGCATCTCCAACATCATAACAGCTGTCTTTAGGGGGAGAGTTATGGCTGCTACATATAAGATGATGCTCTACTTACCTGTGGTAAATTTTTCTACTTCTTCTCTTGCTACAGAATCAAAAACTCTGACCTCTTTGATGTAGTCTTGTTGAGACAGGAGCTCTACAATCTTCTCCCCGATAAAACCGCATCCTCCTGTCACCAGGTAGACCCAGGCACCATCCATTTTTGAAGATGTTTTTGTGGTTGAGGAATAGCAAGAAGGTTGCTGCCCAGATCCTATCATGTGCTGTTAGTCTCTTAGCCAATCTGTTTTCTGAACCAAGTCTAAAGTTTAATTGTCATATAGTGTTACTGGCTGAACATTAACTCCATCCAGTTATACATAAATTTTTTGTTGGCTCAATATACAAGTCCTGCCACAGACATACCAGTGCTACACAGAGTCACAACCTGGTCGTTCTGACTTAGCCTTTCCCTTCCACAGTGGTAGCTCAAGAGTGAGGAGGGGCTGTCTCCTCCAGCTTGCCTTGGTACATGGCCAATGTCATTCCAAAATTTTGATGCCAGATGTTTCCCATCCTGGACAACCCAACTCCATAGGCCTGGTTGTTAGTCATGGTAGGCTTAGACCTCTTGGTTTGGGGGGGGGGGGAGGAATTGTTCCAAGCGTATGGGTCCTAAAGAAGTTCTCAGGACACCCACCTGTTAATGTGAAGCTACAGGGGGAGGGGGGAGTTCCGGTACTAATTTGTGCTGATGGTGAAACAGCAGCTCTAGCTAGTGCTGTGCTATGTTGTGCATGCTACAGACAGGTTCAGGAAAGGTCATTTGTAATGTGACAATCACTGAATCTACCAGTCTGACCAGCTAGTCTGACTTCCACTGTATCAGAGACCCCTGGATTTCCCTAAGTTAATTCATCTTTGACTTTAAATACCTTTTTATATATTTTATATTATATATATATTATATATACACTTACACACACACACACACACACACACACACACACACACACACACACACACACACACACACATATATATGTACCCACACACCCCCATGCATGCAGGAGAAAGCCCACTCTTAATCTGAAAAATGTCTAGTAGGAGTGACTTCGGCAAATTGTTGCAATATTTAATTATCTTCATGGTTTAAAGAGGTGGGGCTGTTGCGCATTTTATCTGCCAAACAGTGGCTAACATACCTTTTCCTTGCGAGATTGTAGAGGACTTCTACTATCCAGTTTGTCATGTAGACAAAGGGGATTCCCTTTCTCGAAGGGTGAGTGATCCTATGCTAGGCTGGGTGGGAAGGCCTGCCCGCTGGCGCTGCTACTTCTCGCTCTCTCTCGTAAAGGGCCACAGGAACGACTGTATTGTCCAGGTTGTTTTTGCAGGGCATGAACAGAAGCCCTTTACCCTCATGCTTTAAAACCAGGTGGATTAGTTGCTTAAGTCTGCAGTAATCAAACACTTGCCGAGCCAGCTTTGACCCAACTTGTCGCTGTCTTTTGGGAATTGTGGCCACAGTAGCCCAGGTGAAATAGAAACGGTAACTTGCTTAAGGTAATCCCCCCTACTTAGTCTTCCTTTATAGTACGTGCAGGACTGTAGGGGCCTTTCTGGCCCTGGTGTTGCTCGGGGAGCTTAGGATGGGGTTGTTACCTGTGCTGACTAGCTGCTTTCCAGGCTCGCTGCCATCCCACCTGCGTCCTGTGCCTGCAGCACAGGTTACAACTGGTGCACAGGGGGGCTGCTGCTAGCCCAGCCCAGGGGGGCAGCCAGCAGGGCCAACAGAGAGCAAGCATAATGGCTACGAACATAGGAAACAGTAGTGCTGGAGCCATTCTTTCCATCATTACTTCTTTTCAAGACAAGCATTAATCTTTGTAGCACGTGTCTGCTGAGCATGTGGTTAATGAAGAGTTAAAGCAGATAGTGCGGGCACAGATTAATAGATTAATTTGGGGGGGAGGGGGGATGGTTTGTTTGTTTTTTGCTCAGATCCTGCTAGAAGTTTGGTCTGTTCAGCTCTACCATTGATTTTCTTGTGCTGCGTTAAGCAATAGCAAAATGGTCTTTTCCCTTTGCCCTGATCGCAGTCAGGGGACAGAATGGCCCAGAGACCAAGCTGGCCCTGATGCTAATTTGGTGCTTGGCAGACCCGGGCAGCCAAAAACATCCCAATAAATTAATTTAGTCTTTTAACCTGCAACTCCCAATCTGTACAGTAGTGATTAACAAACAGAATTGTCTTCCCTCAGAGGAGTTTTGCGTGGATAAATATGTCGCGTTGGAGGTGTTTGAACACAAAAACAAGATAAATATACCCTGAGAGACCCAGAGAAGCGTGGCATGGGAATGTTTGGCATCAAGTAACCTTGAGTATGTCCTCATCAGTGATACAAAAAAAAAAAAACCAAAACCAAAAAACAAACAAACAAAATCCTGTATGAATGGAGGCCTTGACTTTCTGGGGACACTGCCTAGTGTTTATATGCCTTCATCTTTGCTATGCTACAATATTGGTATCAGCAGATCTACAATGTAAGCGGACCATCAGTAGAAGAGGGGGGGAAAAAATTTGCCCATGACTTATATGTCTTGGTTTTGTTATGAGGAAGGGGTGGGGGGAGACCCTGAATTCTGAAACTCAAGCTGTCATGTCTCAGTGCCAGAACTAGCCCTGGTCCTTAAAGCTCTCCTTTGCAAACAGGCCAGTAGCTGCAGCCCAACTGGGCATTTGTGCTGATAGTGGGCAGATTCAAAAAAAAAAAAAAAAAAAAAAAAAAGGGGGGGGGGGGGGGACCCTAACCATGTCCTCTTTTAACAGTTTGCATCCTCACATGTGGTGAGGACTCCGGGGTCTCTGTGAGCCTGGCAGCAGAGGCAACATCAGCACCAGTATGCATGATTAAAAGACCCCAGATCTGGAGGAGGCAGATGACCCGGAGGTATGGGGCAGGGGGAGGTTAGGCCTGAGACTGCCATGTCTTAGCCTGGATAACTGGACTTCCTTGAACTGTAAGAAAACTTAGGAGGAAGCGAGGCAAGTGCTGGTAGTTGCAAATAATGATAAATTTCAATATACACTCTTAAGCACTGCAGTAGTCCTTCTCTGGCCTTTTCCCTGCTTTGTGCAGTCTGTTGTAACCAACTTTTCCTTGTAGTGCTCTAACTGAGCTGAGGGAAAGCTGTGACAGCTATAAATTTCTATATTACTTTAAAACTCCTGGAGGAATTACCTAATCTACCAATCTACCATAGCCATCTAGTGCCTGGCTGCGCTAGGCTTTGGTCGCAATGCAGGATGCTTACATTGCTTGGAGGCTTACCTAGGCTGCTTCAGCTATGAACTACATCACATGATGGAAGGCAGGCTATGCCAGTATATTTGGTTAGTGTGGCTGGAAATGCAGAGTAGTGACTAAGTGCTTTCTAGAAAGCACATCTCAAACCTCTGAAATAGTCATCATGCTTGGTGAAGTGTCCAACAATACGAGTTGGTCCCATCACGGGCAAGGAAACTGTCAGATTTGATTTATTTAGCTGAGGTACATTTGTTTTGTGACCGATGACCAGAAATGGAGTCTTTATGCACAATTTTAAGAGACAGACATACATATAGTGAGAGAAAGTTGACAGAAAAGCAGCTGCCCCAATTTCAGGAGGCAATTTGCTTGAACCTGCTATAAACTTTGTAAGTACAGGACACCAGACAACATACTCATTTACAGTAAGTTTATTTCTCAGTGCATTACATGAAAGGTCTTTGGTATTTGTGGGTTCTTGAATACTGCTCCCCACTCTGCTCTGTAAGGAAATGCTGAATACAAAACATTCCATATACAGTAACAAAACCCATAGCAAATAAAGAAAAAGAGATACCTTGAACAATAACATAGCAATATGAAAACAGATAAGTAACCATGCAAGAGGTGGAACAAACAGGTTGTGTTTTCTTTTTTTTTCTCCACTGGTGAAGTCTGACAACAAACATTAAAGCCTGCCATAAATGAGTTCCTCATGTCAGAAGAGATTTAGTCTCGCTCTAAGTTAAGAAAGTACACATGATCACAAGATACTGTGTACTGCTGTCCTATAAGAGACCAAATGGTTGTAAAAGCTTATTACAATGAGAGAAGCTGGGTCCATTTGCACACATACGAAACACATTGATATAAATAAAAAAAATACTGTGTAAAGTAACTAGTGGAAAAGTTAACATTTCCTTCTATGGTTGGGAATGTGCTTTGTGGACCATTGTAGCACCTCTAGAATTGCTTGATTTCCAAGCAATCACAGAAACTGCAAGTAGTTTAAACCCCTACACCATCAAACACCTGAACGGAATGTAATAGTAATAACACAGAGGCTGGAATGGCGAGGCAGAGTGAATTTCCCATAAATTGTATCGAGAAGTAATTCCAGAAGCGGATTGTCTTTTGGAAGCCTTGTCACAGTGGTTTGGTTCCTACATTGAAACAGTTCGTTGTAGAGCCTGGGACTGAACCAGAATCCCAGAGCCAACGTTCCAGAAAGTTTGTGAGCCGTACGGTCTGCTCCACTGCAAGCAGCACCGGTTCCTGCTAGCTGAAGGTTTGGATCCGATTTTTATGGCCGGTCCCTGCTCCTATTAAAATTGATGGCAAGATTACTGTGGAGTGTGGTGGGAGCAGACGAGGGCTTTTCGCTCTAGTTTATTCCTATTTCCCTGGGTTGCTATCAATTCTTTACAGTAAGTGCAAATTGGCTACTCTGGAGAGAAGCATTCTCCACCTCCCGGGAGTACCAGATTGCTGGTGAACATCAGGGTGCACAAATCACAAAGAGTTTTAAGTTGTGCAAGTTGCTGCTTCTGGTTAGCTCAAGGCAAGGAAAATGCATTACTACTACCAGAACCCATCCAAGTCAAAAAACACACTGGAGCTCAAAGAAACATTAAGAGGTTCAAAGAAGGCAAAAATAAAAAATAAACAAAAAAATTAAAAGAAAGGAAAAGAACACACTATGGTATTGCACAGTATGCATGTAAGATAAAGCACTAAACATTTCAAAATATATTTCTAAATGAGCACATGTTCAAAATAAATCCACTCTAAGTTACATAGACAGGGCAAGAGGCATATATGCCCTGGCTAAAATGAATCTTAGTATCCTGCCTAAGATGGAAAATGTGGTTGGAGTGGTTTGCTTAGTCATGAATATCATTAATTGTCAGCGTGTGAGGCTGTGTTCACCTTTAAAAGATACTTAAACTGGAGCTGCACAACAGTGTGGGCCGACTGTTGTGTAAGTAGTGAGGAATGAGACCCCAGCTGACAGAGAAAGTCCATTTTGTATAATCCTGCTATCACGCAAATTAAAGATACAGTACCGCATTAAAAAAGAGAGCTGTAGGTAAAGCAAGAAGTGTGGGGAGCAAAAAAAAAAAAAAAAAAAATCACATAGCTCACTATTGAAAGCCAGAGAAGTCAATAATCAGAACTGTTGCAGCCTGAGCCTAACCAGGCATTTGACAGGATTAATTGCAAACAACTTCAATTAAATTTCCTTTAATCTTGCCAGTAATTTGTTCTAAATAACTTAATTTCAAATCCAAAAGCCTAGTCAGATGTGAATGAATTGAAGAGAGTATTCATCAAGCTAATGCAATAGTTTTAAATTCATGAAGACAAACTTGGCAAAAGGAAAACTTCTCCGTACGAAGGCTCCAAAAAAATGAAAATGGCCTCATTGTACGCCATCTTCCCCAAATTCATCCCTGTAGCTACAGGCCCACTGAAACAAAGTACTGCCCCACAAGGCACTGAATGGAAGGAAACAGGCTGCTCTACTCACTCATCAGGTGTTGCAAAGTTGAGCTGTTTGTGACTTTTTGTTTTAGACTGAGAGCTGGTTGCCAACCCTCTTTAAGGCACTGCTTTCATTCAGCATCACTTATGTACACAGACATGGATTTAGAGTTAGACTTGGCATTGAAGCTAAGAGACAGTCAGAGCCCTTATTTCATTGGCCCGTAAGGATTACCAATACAGGCCTCCTGCTCTGTGTCAGAACCTGCTTGACTCAGGCAGTTTGGCCCCCCCGCCCCGGCAACGTGTTTTCTGGTCTTCTGAATATATCACAATCCAGCTATAATTCAGAGTACTGGTAGACAGATGAATGCTGGAGCCTGAACCATAAGCTCTTGGCAGAACTTTACTTTCATTTTCAATGGCGGCTTGGAAAAAGAGAGCACCTGATTGTAGCTTGCCTTCAATTCCCAAAGCGTTTCTAATGCTTTGGGCTTGTTTCTTTGAAGTATCAAAAGGAAAACGTGACCAGATGGAAGTATAAGCCGAACTACATGAGTTGACTAGAGAACGAGGTCCTGGCCTTAGCCAAGCAATGCTAGGACTCAAAAGGAGGTAAGTGACTGTGTTTAACCTCAAAGCCTTCAAGCCAGTTTAAACCAAGGCTGGTTCTTCTTTAGCTGCTCGGCAGTAAAAAGCTGCTCTGTGAGGACAGCTTTCGCTGCTGCTTACTTGCTGTCAACTTACTTTATTATTTCACCTGTTTTGGGATAGACGTCTAAAGAACAGGGCCAAATGAGTGCATATGAGGAAAGATTTGTATGTTCTGATGTCTCTGTAGCTCTACTATGTTTATGCCGTATACAGAAAGTTAATGTGACGTGTGGCTAATGTTGGGTGGGCAGCGCTCCTGCAGGCAAAACCACATTTCCAGCAGCGTCCCACGTGCTTCCCTTTCCCTCTGGAATATCACATTGGTTGGTAAGGGTCCCTGAATACAGGGCCCATACAGTTGTTGGTCTTTGCAACAGCTTTTGACAGCAGTACACATCATTGTCTTTTGCAGATAGCTGTATCTTGCACTAGGAACCAGGTAGGACGTGACCAATTATTTACCTTACTTATGCCATAAAAATGACAAAGACAATTTGCTCGCTTTTCTCCTGGGCTGGATTTGAAAATCTGACAGAACAGTTAAAAAAATATTTATATATATTTTCAAATAAAAATAGTACTATCAGTTCATTATTCTCACCCTTTCTAACAAAATTCATTGTCTACATGAATTACATCAACTTGTCTAATTTAGTTTGCGCAGCGGGTATAATGATTCATTTGTCACTGAAGGGCAGGGTCACTCTCTTAAACTTGGAAGCTGGGACTTTCCCCAAAATAACAGTTAACTGCAAAAAGTAAAATGACTTTGTATTTAGCTCCCTAGTGCAAGATAAGCTACTGACAAGACTCTAATCCCTTAGACTGTGGCTTGCCACTAAAAACTGTCTCAAGATTCAAATGCCTACGGTTTACCCACAAGATAAGAGTGTCAAAATACTTTTCCTTATTGATCTACAATTAAGAAACTATCGCAAAACATCCTTTTCTGTGAATATTTATTGCCAGTACTTAAACGAATTTTCTCTGGGTATATGCACAGACTGAACGCAAGATGGGAAAATTCTTGAGCAATTCCATCATACCTGATGCATACTGCTATAAATTTTCATAGAAATGATTCTAATATCATCTGAATATAGATAGAAAGTCAATGTATGCCACAATTTGCATCAGAGGTCCTTGCTCAGCTAACTATGGATAGACATAATGCTATTCACATGCAGTCAACAATAGGCAAAGCCTAGATTTTGATGTTCAAGTCCCAAGAGTAAACTGAATTTTTAGAGTAACTATTTGAAATGTTCTTTGAATTTCCCAATCTATTCTTTGCTTAAGAGAAATCCTTGCAGGTGAGAATGCTTTAGTGGCCTATGAAAGTGGTACCTTCAACTGGAAGTCAGCATGACACCACATGAAGTAAAAGCAGATGCCAACCAACTATAGCAATGGAAAAGGCTAAGGCTCAGCTTTGAGTCTTGATGGGCTTGATTGTCTCAGTCAGTTAAGCAGCGCTTTAACTGAGTAACTTGCAAGGGCAGTGAGGAAACAAGGGGAGGATTAAACTCAGACACATTCAGGAGGTGTCACTTCTGTAGACAGCTTCTGAGGATACCTGCCACGTGGTATTCCAAAGGCAAAAAAAATAACAAAATCAAGAAAAATGTTTGTAAGACCCTCTCTGAGCTATGGATAAGACATTCCCTCCACTAAGGGCTTAGTATTGGTCAGGTAAGGAAACCCAATTGCCATCGCTGCAGCCTCCTACCCACTTCATTTGCACTCTGCAATTAAGCACTAGGTTACTGTATCTTTAACTGGTGAACGGGCTTGGGAACATGTAGACGCTTCTACTTCATTCGACTGCTTTTCCTTTTGGCCTCACTGTCATCCAGCAGTGAAGAGAGGATCTGGTAGGGCTGTGGCTGCTGGGGTCCTCCACGTTTGATCTTGATGCTGGTTCGCAGCGGGGAGCCTGGGATCACATCTTGTCCGGAGCCTGGCTCAATGGAAGATAAAGAGTCTGTAAGGAGAGAAAGTCATGGGAGAGTGCTATTTAAAAGGGGAGGCTAAGGAAAGAGTAAATGGGGGCCTTCTGAATGATGCTTCTTCTAGAAGAAAGTGTCTTCCCTTCTGTTGTCTTTCCATTCACCAAATAATTGGGGAGCTACATGTTTGCTGCCATCTCACTACTACAATATTAGTTTTTTTTTTCCCCACAGCTCTAACCTGTTTGGGATGGGTATGTTTCTGCATACAGCACAACAGGTCCTGTTCCTGTTTGTGACTCTAGTTATAAAGCACTGTTCTTATCCTTATTGAACATAAATTTGTTTGGGCTGTAACTACTACTTAGCATTGCCCACAGACTCCTGTTACTGAAGATAAGGCTTCACCAAATGGACACTGAGAAGTGAGGCTCCCGAGGGTTTGCACACAGTTTCATTCTCTGTAAAGATGGACATTTTGAGGCACTGAATGACCCACCGAAGGCTACTGCCAAATTAGAGATAAAGCTGGGAATACAATAATGTATATATATAATATATTAGCTGTCCATTCTCCCAGCATGCCTCGTGTTAACACACCCTTCCTCTTTCTACAGTGTCCTGCTCTACAAAGCTAAATGTACGTTTGACTGTGGCCCCTCTTCTCTCTTCCCAGCAGTCAGCAACACATGCCAATAGCTCCAGCGCTGCCTCATCATTTTTAATGCCCTGGTTTCTTTTTCCTCTCGCCTTCAGAGATGGACCTTTGCTTGTTTCCCTGACAAGAGTCCAACCTCACAAGCCAAACATCCAGCCTTGGTCTGATCACGTGAGGCAGCATTTCTATTTCAAAGGAGCATTTGGCTAAAGAAGAATTTGTGCTGGGTTTGCTGGCAGGAAATGCTGCCAAACTGGGCTTTCCTGTGTCCTGCTGGGCTGCTCTCTGCAGTTTGCTGCTCCAGACTATCTCCAACTGTCCTCCCATGGCCGAGAGGAGGTTTATTTGCTGGTATGTTTTGCCTTGTTGCTTGGGTGGTTGTGGTTTTGGAAACCACATTGATTGTGAAGTTTCTTGGGAAAATGAGAGCATGCGACTGGCATTTCTGCGTGGGCCTTTCAAGCAGGGATGAATCAGGCTACCCAGGAAACTGTGGTAAAATTCTTAACACCTACGGTGGGAATGAGACCAGATAGTTGGTGCTGGCTGATTTAAACCTGTGTGGTGCCTTTCCAGTGCAGGAGCTGTCTTTGCTCAAGGAAATCCTGTTTTGGTAATTTTATGTCTTTGCCTTTTTTTTTATACTATATACACATACGGGGATGAACAGAATTGCACAAGGAAAAAAATTACTTACTTTCCATGTTCTTTTTTTTCTAAGTAGCATTTTTGTGTGGCCTAAAATATGTCTTAAGCTAAGGAAGGGACATGTTTTAGAAGCACAGAGGATAAAAAAGGAAGTATTTATATAAAGTCATGCAACATAGGTGTTTAAACATGGCCTTAACTACAATGTACAGTTAAACACGATCCATTTTTGCTGATGCAGTTACACTGGTATAAATGTATACATTGGTATAAATAACTCACCTCCTTCCCAAGCAATAACAGAAGGTACATTTATGTTAGTGAAAGTGGTTTGCTAGAATGACTGTTTCAAAATAACAGCACCACATGCCTCTTTCTTCTGCACCGCCAAACAGACAATGTATAAAGTAGGCAGTTCTGTGGGGCAGAGTGGCCTGGATCCCCTAGTCCAAGCCCCAGTGTCTATACAAGCTTCCTGAAGAGCTGATTTTTTGCTTTATACTAACCTAAGTGGATATACAAAGTAAAAGATAATAGAGAGCCAGGCCCTGGATCCTTGAGAATCCAATACGCCAAGTCTCTCTGTGAAATACATTGCACTGTACTTATGCGCTGGGTTCCCCTTCCTGTCTTACCAAAAGAACATATCAGCTCAGCAAGACCTACTGCCTAGGTAATCTAGTGGACATCTTCCTGGCACTTCCACCACGTTAAAGCAAACAAGCATAAGAACATTTCTTCCTGCCTTTCCAATATAAAATCCTAGGAAAATGTGTCACAAGGTAAGATTAATGCAGACATAAGGCCAGAGTGACTGTAGTAAAAATCTCCCATTCTTCGGTTAAGGAATGAAAACTCTCATTAAGGAATGATGCCACACACCGTACCAGTAATGGTGGCCTCAACGAAAAACTGAAAAATTACTCTCTATTTGAACAAGGAATGCGTGAACCTTTCTTTAAATCTGATACTGAAAATAGGTTTTATATGAGTTGCTATCAGAAGACCTTCATGGATCATTGATTTTTCAGGGTAATATGTGGCACTGTTTGGGCTTTCTCTATAAAATATGCTGCTATACAAGGTGAGATCCTCAGTGGTATTAAAGTCAGTTGGAAGAAGGTGTTACCAGGATTAAATGAGCTGTCGTTAAAGATCTGAACATGCAGCTTCCTGAGAAGCTGGAAGATGACCTGGGCAGCAGAGTGTAACATGGCTTGAGCTGCTGCTCATGACCTCACTCTCTGAGTTGTAGTACAGATTATCACGGGGGCCATTTCACCTGCTGGTGTAAAGCCAGTGTGACTACTGCAGTTGTGGGAAGCTCTAGGCCCTCAACAATTCTGAGCACCCTTTAAGTCACGTTGAGTACCTAGTGTTGAAAACCCTGTTTAAATAGCTAGTGGGCTGGCTTTGGGCCCTAGCAGGCCGCCTAGGAGACCGGGAGGGTGAGTTTGGACCATTGAGTGCCTCCCTGAATAGACACTCCCCCCCTCCCCCCCAACTTATCTAGAAAAGAAAAGCGCTTAGCGGCGCTTACCATGAATTCCTATCATGTGCTCAAGAATTAATACCCTCTCGGCTAAAATCTTCAGAGCTTCTCGAAGTTGTTGAACACCTTCTCCCTGCAAGAAAAACAAAACTAATGTTAATACATATTTGCAGAAGGACTTCTTGTTCATTAAAGTTCATATTGTTGCCTCCATAACGCCAAACCATGCAGTGTGAGCATTTAAAAAAAAGAAACAAGTAAAAAAGAAAGAGAAACTGCATGGGTTAAACTAGAATTCTGGAGAAACTTCTTCTTAAAAGAAAAAATCTCCAGTTATATCCCACATTTGTAGAACATCTGATTCAAAGTCAAACCTTTCTGGTTTTGTTCCTGTTTCTGCAGGAGGCCAAACCCAATCTGTATATTCCTGTCAAACTTTTATACCACACAGCTTGTGGCAGTAACTACTGAACTACTTAAAAAACAGGTTTTGTTCTGACATTTGCTCTGAACATCAGTGAGGTACCTTCGGCTTTCTCTTTGCTGGTGTAATGGGAAAGAGAAGTTTGGCAAGCACCATCTTGTTGCTGCATTATAAAACTATCTGTACAGTGACATGCAAACCCATGTTGATAGGACACAAAATATCTGTCAGTAAAGCAAGTAAGCAAGATGTAGGCCGGAATATACCTTCGGAAAGCGAGGAAAGTATGGACAACAGTCAGGTTATACTACGGGGAGATGAAATTTTCCCCTGCTGAATTTTGGCAGTTCAGCCTAATGGCAGAAACTCAACACGTGGAGTCTTTGAGACTAGGTGTTGTGGGTCACCATTTTACTTCTGTGTCTAGGACTGGGCTGTAGGTCCCGGCATTTCAGTGGGAGCTGCTGCCTCTCACAGTGCCTCAGCTCCTAGCTCTGCGATATGCTCTCCAAAGTCTGTCCATGCGCTTTTATGTGCACGCAGGCTTTGCTCGCGTTACCCTAGATATGCGACTTGTGAGATAGACTGATGTTGGAAACTGTTTTAGGGTGGGACAGTAGAGACCCAAGAACTCCAGTTCTCTGCACAGGCAATTTGATCTCTTCTGTGCCTCTGTTCCTGAACAGTAAAATAAAGGAGTATTTCCCTACCTTGTAGCAGTTTTGTTTGGAGAAATAGCCCTTGAGGACTGAGGAAATGTTCAGATTGCAACTGACAATACGGTCAAGGAAACCTAAGAGACCTAGACATTTTTAACCTGTTAATAGGTTCACGCCCAAAGTTCACACCATCTCTTCATCTGCCTTTCTAACTTTGAATAGGACCCCTGCCTCCCCAGACCAGCTTGGAAAGGAGAACATGGCCCTAAGGAGAGTAAAGAGACAAAAGGGTAAGTAAAACAGAAGAAATACATGCTTACATCAGCACCTTTATCACCTTCCTCACCCTTCTTGCCTGGTTCACCCTAAAACAAGAAAGAGAAATTTGTTTTCATGTGAACAAGGAATCAATATCCTGTGCAGGATCACTCACATTCCCTCCCTCCCGACAAATTTTAAAAAGGCAAAAGAGCTTTGTCAGCAGAAAACTGACTGTCTTACACTTCAGACCATGGCCAAGGTGAGCTAGTGAGCTCTCTTCAGGCTCCTGTCAGCTCCCCAGCGGGGGCATCACCACCATTTCTAACACTGGTGAACTTGGCCTGGGGCGGCCAAAGCAGTAGGATGGTCGTATTGTAATGAAAGAGGAGCTAGCTGCCATGGCCTGGGCCCTCAACCGAAACTACACACATCTCATAAAGCTCTCAGTGAACAATGCTTTAAGTTAAAACACTGGAATAAAAACAGTGCTCTCCTTTCCCAAACATGCGCACTTTCATTTTTCATTTAGAACATAAAATCCTCCTTTCTGCTTTCAGTAATTAGTCACATCACTTTCTGCCTCTGAAGATGCTCGTTAAGCTTTTCTTGAACAAAGACCCCTATGTTCTGCGAATGTTGGTCTGATACTCCCCTGTTCTCCCTAGCCAGGAAATGCATGCATTTGCCAAAGAACAGATGACATGGAAAGAATAAACCACAAGCTAAACATAACGCAAGGGAAAGGCCTAATAAATTGCTGAATAAAGTAGACTGGAAATGCCTGGGCTCCTTAAAACCTCCTGGACATCCCGGAGATGTTTGGAAAGCAAGGGGGGCTGGGAGGAAGGACTCAAGAAGAGGTTGTGAGCGTTGTAAGAAATGATGAGATGACGTTAAGGAAGAGAGTCCTCCTAGAGGATCTAGGACCCCTCTGGATGCTTCAGTCCAATAAAACCACCTTGCTCACTTTCACCCAACCTTCAGCTCTACCGTTTTGTTTTCATCCCAGGCATGTGTGTCAGTACAGCCATGTCCTATGTGCATCTGTTCAACTGTTGCCTAGAAATCATTTGGAGAAAAGCTGTTCTTAAGAGATTAGCAGTCCAGCTTTGCAGACCAAGGTGCAAGAAGGAGTTCAGAGCAGCTGCTGTACTTTGGGTTGCTTAATAATGTCCATCTTTGGGCTCTGGTAACGCCAGGAATTTCACTGGGGAGGGCGGGAGGAAAGGGGCTTCTGTCTACAAAGGTTGTGCTAGAGGATATCTGCTAGGAAAGCACTTCTCTGTTGGCACGACTCCTTCCTAATCATTGCTTTCCACCTCTGTCCCCTCCCCCCCCACTCTAGTGCACTTTATGCTACTGACTGCCCCGTTGACATCAGTAGCAGAAAACAGCCTGGTAAATATGCAGGCTCTTGGACCAGAGATGTCATCCTGTTTTACACTGTGCAGCCAAGTTTTCCTCCGTGCTGTCACGATGCAAACCCTACCAACAAGGCTTAGAGCAAACATCCTCCACACCTAAGGAAATTAGTGGGGAATCTGTTTGGTCCATCCTCTGTGCTGAATTCACCATCCTGACTTCTAGCTCTGGTAGGAAGAGCCGCAGCTGGCAGGGCACTATGGTGGCAGCTTCCACCTTTGCACCACCCAAGTCTTTGGTGGCACAGTTAGAAAGAACCTGTAAAAGCCTATTAGGGCCCAGTCTCGTGAACTCTGCATCTCAGCACTACACTAAATATGCAGGAAGACTGTGTCTCATTTACAGAGGAATAAATTAAGGAGAAGTTTTTGACAGAACAAATCTCTGAGCTGGAGACAGTTGACTTAAGTGTTGTATCTGAGAGAGCTGGTTGAACCAGGTGCGCTCCAGCTATGTGGTATTTCAGGTGCCAGACATGCCAGGCAGACACCAAAACCAGCTGAGTCTTGCACACACCCGCAAGTACATCACTTACAGGAAATCCCTTAATGCCCCTCTCTCCAGTCAGACCTGCTTGCCCCTGTTGGAAATAAAGTAAGTGTCATTAGGAGATATTTTTCCATTTGACAAGAACATAATGTAATTTTACTAGTGGAATTAAGATGGCTTAATGAAAAACCTTACACTTGGGATAATATGAAGAAATTTCTTTCCCTTGACATTATCACTTAGTGACAGCAAAAGGAGGGGTCATGGTTTCCGTCAAGCATGAGCTCCAAATCCTATCACGCTCTGGAGAAGTTTGGTTAGATACAGAAATACTCAGCTCAGTACCCTCTCAGTAAGATGATCTGCAGTTTTTTGAACTTTAAAGCAGACAGTTACATTGTACCAGGAAGGAATTTGGCTGGAGATTTGTTTCTTTCAAAGATACAACAGTCTTTGCTCCAGTAAAAAGGACAGGCTGCTGCTGCCACAGACAGCAAACAGAGCTCCGGACACCCACCGAGCACTGATTTCATCTGCCTCCTGCTTTGCGCACACATCCCTGTGTTAAATCCAACAGCTACTGATCAAAACACACATACAATGTTTTGGTTGGTTGGTTGGTTTTTCCTGCTGTGTTAATTTTCACATGCTTTTTGGTGCCCTTTTTTTGTTTTTAAACAGAAACGTTTTGAAATGGTATATGTTGACTTGAAGTGGATTGAAACACCATCAGACTGAGCATCTTTTTCCCCTTGCTTTCCTCCTCAGCTTTTATTCCTCACCGCAGAGCACCCTGGGGCTGGGACAGAATCCCTAACCTGGAGAACACTTCTAAATTATTTCATAGAAAGCAAGAACTGAGGAAAAGGAGGTAAAATTTAAAAGCATCTTTAGAAATCTCTTGACAAAATAGTCACATTTTAAACCTGGCCCTTCTTCCCTAGACATACCCAGAAAAAAACCTATCCTTTCGTTCCAAAAAAAGCTATCCAGCTGGCAGCAGCTTTTTGCAGGATTTGCCAGAAAGGGAGAGATACTTGGTTACTGTGTCCATTCAACCTGCTGCTTTGTATAAAAACCCCAAACCCTGGGCATTTGCAAAAACATGACTACAGAGACTGGTGCAATGCTGAGTGAGTAGCCAGCCAGCACTAGGCACAGCCCTGCACTGACATGAAGAGCATTAGAAATAAGGCCTAATTTCTCAGGTGCTCCTAACCATCTTCAAAGGGAAATACTTAGCTTCTGCAATGGAGGGAATAAGGCCTGTGAAAAAGCACTGGCAAGCAGCACATCACGGAGAGGAGTCACAACAACACACTCTAAATACATAAGCAGGCTGCTCTCTATGTCCACTGGGAATGGGAAAAGATGTTATCAGCTTAAAGGGGATCAAAGGATATTTAGATCGGATGTTAGAAATACCTTTCATCCCAGTCCCTCCCTCGCTGTACCTCTACAGATTGCCTGGAGATGGTGTGGAGTATCCCTCACTGGCAGTGCTTAAGAATAAGATGAGCAGATGCTGGCCGTGAAAGGCACACACATAGATAGGCCATCCGGGGGATGGACTCTGCCTGCCTCAGGTCTCTTCTACATCTATTTTCTGTGAGATTAAGCAGGCAGAATTTATAATAATGTTTTGACGAATCTCAATAGATATTGTAAAAACCTCCTCAGCTTTTTTGTTGCACCAGCTGCACAGTTCCTCTGTTCTGTGTAACGCTAGCCCTAATTTGTATCCACCAAACCGAAAATTGCAGCATGTAGTTGTCAAAACCAGCATTCAAATCCACACTCACAAAAGATGTCTTTCTCAAAAACACACAAAACATCCTACAGAAATTCTGCCAGAAAAAGCTATCAGCTTCACTTTCCAAACTAACAGAGGAAGGACCAGAACATAGAATTTATTTTTGCTATTTAGCAAGACATTCTGATATTCGAAAATCCCATTTATCCTGAACCTGGAACTGTTGCAATTCTGAGTACCTACAAGCAGTGAATGAAATCAGAGTCTAAAGGATTCATTTACACCTCATCTGGTCAAAAATTCCACTGAATGGACACAGCGCATTTGTTTCAAAAGTGCAGTAATACTCTTAGCAATATGGTAAACCACAAATTAGATCATGATGCTAAATGAATCATTGAGGAAGAGCTCTTATCAGTTTCCTGAATGGAAACTTGACACTCTGCCATATCCCATGCTTTGCTTCTTTTTTTAAATAAAATTGAAAATTAACATTTAATGGTGATGAGCAGTACTTGGGCTGAAATTTCACTAGCTAAGGTTTTAATCTTTATCAGACCCTTAAATGTTAGTCCAAGAATTGCCTCTGAGTCTAATCTATTACCAAAGCCAGTAAATGCCCAAAGTGACTGCTTTGCACTAGAAAATTGTTATTAAAAAATCCTAACAGTTACTTAAAATGGGGTCTCTCTTTCAGGGGGTTGCAAGGGGTTTCCTGTGTAAGAATAGGAACCAAGCACCCAAAACAATGTGACCTTCTGCAGAAATACTAAAATAAAATCTATCTATCTATCTATCTCCTGCGTGAGCTTTTTACAAGCAGATACGCTCCAACCTCAACTATCTCATGCTCCTGAGGTGAAGAACCTCAAGGGGGCATGAAACAAGCCACTCTGAGTTGTGGCCTTGCATGCAGTCTGGACAGAGGAATGCAGTTTAAGCCTATCACTAAGTATTCTCATTAACCTGGAGTTATCAAATGCATCTGGAGTTAACCAATCTGCATTTGCCTTTCATAGCTCTCCAAGACATCCTTCTGTCTTTTAGATTGGAAGAGTGAGTAGAAATGAAGGAGAAGAAGAGATGTTGTCTTATGGGGGAAGTAAGTCATCTACAGCCACCCATTTGCAGGTGGTGACTTCCATGCTCACCTCCATCTATGTGCAGTTAAAAGTGGCATGTGGAAGAAAAGGGAATTTGTTTCCTACACCTGTGGAACAAGGCTCTATCTGTGCAGCTGCCGCTGCAGACACGTGTCATTTTAGAGGTATAACCTAACATTTTTTCCCTCATCTTTCTTTCATTCTTCAGATCTGCTCCACACCAAGGTCTTAGCAACGGTCCACACTCCATCAGTGCCAGTTTCTACATTCTGTAGATCTAACTGATGAATGACTGTCCGCCCCCTTCTACCCATATGCTAAGAGCTCAAAAGATTTTGTGTTCTTAGTGTATCTCAGAGGAGATTTCAAAGACTATGGCTTGGTGTTGTGACGTGTTATTGGAGAATAAGCTTAGCAGAAGCAGCTGAAGGCCCCAACGTCACTCTGAACCACAACTGACACTTGAATACTGGACTGGGAATCTGACATAGATATCCATGGCAGATTTTTCTCTACTGTTTCTTAAACTTGACCAGCTTGGAAATAACATTCAAACTGCCCCAGTAACAGTTATTAACGTTTGACATAACTCATCAAGGGTTGAGATACAGTACATTTTATAAACGTATTAAGAACGTTATTTGACCTGAGGAATGGCTTTGGCTCAGTAAAAGTCCGAGCAGCTTTTTTTCTACTGCCACAGAAGGAAAAAGTCAGTTAGACCATGTAAAGTACTCCATGCTAAAGAGCTTTGGCTGGCTGAAGAAAGCTGGTTTCCACAGCCATTATATGCAACGTATTTGCTACCTGGTTATCTTTACAGAATGATGGACTCTAGGCAAGGAATGCAACCCTTTATCTGTACAGTGACCTCTCATCTTGCTTCTTGCAGAAGACCTAGAAACTCTATGCATTCAATATTGAGCATGGTTGTAGTACCTCTGTACTTGGAAGACCTATGTCCTATACTGTTTCTGAGGCATTAGCCCAGAACTTGCAGGGAATCTCCCTATGTACAGTAAAATCTTACCCTCTCTCCTCGGTCTCCTTTGGAACCTTTTAGCCCAGGTTGTCCTGGAGAGCCTGGTAAACCCTAGAAGAGATGCAGAAGAGACGGAATTAATATCCACTGAGCATCCTTTGTGTAGGTGTAGTAAATACATTTCCCAGTGATAACTCAGTTCCTGAAAATTTCATATACCCATTAAGCGATTGGGCTGAATTCTCTGTTGCCTTCATGCCTGCATAGTTAATGTAAAAAGAGAGTAAAACATAACACATAGACCTACTCATAGTGGTGCAGGGGGAGGTTCTGCAACTTAATTGTGAACATGCACCTTACATGTTGTGTTTTAGTAAACCCTGTGCATATCTGGTTAGTCTTCATCAATGAATGTAGGGGAAAACAGAATGTTTAGTATAGTATGTTAAAACACAGAAACATTACAGAATTTAGTAGAGACAGAGGTGCATGCAGTGGATCCAGGACATAAATTTGTTGGTGCAAGAAGCCACTGGAAGCTCTTCCTGAAGATTTCCTGAACCCATGCAGGGGCCTAAAGCCTCTGCAGATCCCTCTCTTCAAGTCTTAATGCGCTGTCAGTCACTGATGTAACATTTTGCTGCGGGTCAGTATGACAGGATAGTTCTTGTTATCAGTTACCCTGAAGACATTTATAAAAAGATAGTAGGGCTAGCCTAACCTCCCCCCCCACTATTTCCCCCCTGTTCATAATAGTCTCAGTGGGTGGCATGAGTAAGCATACATACCTGAAAATTAATTGGACTGTGCAGCGGAAATTATTTTGAAGCGATTTACTCACCCTAATAAACAATTTTCAAATTAAGCTCAATCTCCACTAATAATTTTGCTCCCTGGGCTGAATAAATCTATAAAGCAGTCACCAGTGAATAAGAAGGGCACTGTCCCTAGACTTCTTCTAATTGAACTGCTTTGCAGAAATCAATCCAAACTCTTAAATTACCCACCCAGTGAAGCCTCAGATGTAAGCCAGGTAGGAAGAGAACAATCTTGTTTGTTTATATTCCCCATGTCAGCTCCTCAGCTCCCCATAACCATATGCAAGATGTTTTTTTCCACCTTAAGTGACTTACACATCGCCTCAGACACTGTAGCAAATGGGACTCCTGCTCCACTCCAGACCACTGGTGATTTAAGCTAAACTGCTTAATAACAGTCCCTAGAAACTACTGTCTCTCAGCATCCAGAGAAATGAGCTTCCTAGGCATCCCTGCGAGGGGCAAAGCCTCTCAGCATCTGCTTAAGTGGCCCAAGAAGATTGGGCATTAAAGTTTTATGGGACTAAAGGAGGAGCACCCACCGAGGCTCAGCTGGGAGGCAGCAGTGCTCACCATCAGTAGCTGCTTAGTCACGTTTCCCCATCAGGGGATTCAGAAGCTCAACCGGCTTTGGGAGGTTATTTACGGATGGTGAACAAGCTGGGGGACAAACCAGACTTGGCCCTAGGTCAAACATGCAGCATGAGCAAAGCCTAAGTGTCCATAGGTGCCCTTTGCACTTGCCAGCCTCAACAGTGATTTTCAGTGCTTGTTTACACATGGATGTTCAAGAACACTCAATTCAATACTCTTGTCAGAAAAAATGAAAAATGTACAGTGTGTACTATGTGCAGAAAACCCAGACTCTGCTACAGAACTTAGTATTTGCTTTGCCCATGTGAATTACCTTGTGTTTAATCACATTAAACTGCATCTGTCATTTTGCTGCCAAATTTCCCACTGTGTCCATATCTATCTGGAGTTTCTCGCAGTCCTCCAGAGCATTCACTAATTGAAACGATTCTGCTACGCTGGCAAAATTTCACTAACTTGCTGTCCATTGCTTCTTCCAAATGATTAATAAATACATAGTAAAATCTTATTTTTCTACTTTCTAGCAACCTCAAATCTCTTCCTATCAGGACTTAACTAACATTTCTCAGCTAAATTACTTAACTTCTCTCTCTCTCTCTCTCCACTCACATTATAGTCAGCTCACATACCTTTGAAGTAATCGGTGTTAACAGCTGACCCTCACAGTAAGTAACATTCTTCCCCAAACTGGAGCCCCCTTGTATCAGCTAACCACCATTTTGAGCAGTTCAGCAGTTCACTATTCATCATGACTTCACTTTTTTCCATTTAACCATTTTTTTCCATCCACATGAGTACTGTGCCCTTCTCCTACCTAAAATGTTTTTGAGTGAGTTCATCACAACCCATGATTATTCCTCCAACCACAATTTTTGTACTGATAATTCATCAATAGGACTGATGAGAATTTGCAATATTTTTCTCAAAAAGTGCTATTTCTGAAAAAGCAGGCTCAACTACAGCAAATTCACACGGCAGTGTTGTTCTTTTTGTGTGTTCCACAGGAAATAACAGTATTCTTCTATGATTGTGTTAGCATAGCCCAAGTCACTATGTTTTGGGTTGCTTGTTTTCTTTCCTGAATGTTGCACCACTTCATTCCTCCAATTGCTCCTAAAGGCCATGTCAGAGCAGGACTGCGTGTCCAATGACGGGATAGGGTCTCGAGCCCATGCCTGCAGGCATCCCATGGGAGGTCCAGACTGGCCAGGAAGCCACTGTAAAATTGGGGCTTGACATAGGGCAGGGCCATGTAGCCCCTGGGTGGGAGGCTGTCTGCTGCTGAGCCCCCTCACAGAAAATGTTTTGCATTAACTCAGGCCACAGAGAAGCATTTTGATGCACTGACAGTAAAATGTGTTGTTATGGTTAAGGGACAAATCTAGAAAGTTGAATTATTCCAACTTCTCATCCCAATTCAGGATGAAAAACAGGTATAAACATCTCAGAATTTCACAGGGGACAAAACATCAGCTCTAAGACATACATCACTTTTCTTCTTTCTGTACTGAGAAGATGCCTCGTGCCTAACCTCTGACTCTTCCCCCCACACATCCCAAAAGCACTAAAATGCCTTACTTGCAATCCAGGGGCTCCGATAGGTCCTGGTGGCCCTTTGGGTCCTGATGCACCTGGTGGCCCTGGTGAGAATCATCATGTGAGGGAATTTTAAGGAGATTTAGAAGGAAGGACCCTTAATTCCAACCATATGCACTTCCTTTCATTGTTCTGCTTAGTCTCTCAATGGATAAGAGCCATTGATCGATCGCAGGACTACAGCATAAGCACTTTCATCACACTCTGGAGTCCTGGATACCCACATGCTGATATAATATATCCCCATGCCCTAGGGAAGACCTTTGAGCTCTGGAAAAAATAAAGATAAAAAAAATAAAGGGAACACAGGCAGGAAGGATGTCAACAACATGCTACATTTCCATTTCCTTTAAAATGACTGCTTCTCAGAAACCTTAAACTAGATCCATGAAACAGCTACATCAGAGCAAGATACTATAGTTGCTGTTTCTAAAACAGGAGGAGTCCTACAGATGGAAAGCAAAGTTCCCAAGCTGGCTAGAATCAGTCTCTCTGGCATTGCCAGAAAGTTGATGATGAACATTCAGGAGACGGGGTTTGGACACAGCCGAATGAGAGAGGCTGACTGTGGCAAAGCATTCTCTTGATCTCTGCATGCTCACTCCAGCAGCAAGAAGTTCTTTTTAAGGCTGTACCATGGAGCAGGGTGGTTCTTGGAAAAGGTAAACATTGCCTGAACAGGTCAACTTGCTTCATACAGTCACTTAACAGCTTCATTTCCCTTGGAAGAAAATAATTATATCTGAACAGTAGCTGTTAAATTATACCTGCAAATGGGAGACAGGATATTTCCTTAGCCTGAACTTATTAATACTCCTCTCTGCTTTAGCTGTCACAGCCCTTGAGATGAAACAATGTGGACATTAAGCACATAAAGTACAGCTGAATCAGCCACAATCATTAATGCGGCATGTAAATGTTTAAGTCAAGGAATAAATGAATTGAAGGATAAATGAAAGGCCCTTATAATAAAAGGAAAAGCCTTTTCTGCAACTGATGGGAGTTCACTCCTAAATACGCTTCGTACAGGGAAGTGCTGATGTTTGCAGGAATATTATCATTTAAGCCACTCATCAGCATTGAAAAACAGAAGACTTGCCACAGAATTCTTGTCCCAGATTCTCATCTCAGTTACGCTAGTGCAAATCTGAAGTAGCCCAAAATAGCTCCAAAGTCTGCAGAGTTTGCATAAATGTCAGTGAGAACAGCTGGCCAGATTCTGCTCAGTGCAGCGCTACAGTTGAGGGACAAGGTTTGCACCACCAGTGAGAGCAACTCTGCCCTCAAAAAGAAATCCACTGGACAGTCCATTTTTAAAGACAGTCTTTGATTATTCTTTTCTCAAGATGTGTCAGTAGATATCCCTCTTCCCTTCCAAAGTGGCACGGAATCTTTGAGGTTAAATCTGCCACTACCAACAGATATGAAAACTGATTACTTCTTCCTACCATTCCTCAGGCCAGGACCCATGACTCTGCCGCCCTTCCAGTAAGGGCCACTTGGTTTCCCCTACAGACATCCTGCAAGAGTGAACTCTGCCAGACCATTTCCACTCCCCATCAGAAACTTCCTTTGCTTGTTGTCCCCATCATTACAGTTTTGCAGCTCAGCTGAGTTTATTACCTGGTGGTCCAACCGGGCCAGGGGCTCCTCGTGGTCCTGGCAAGCCAGCCATGATGGTGTCTATAACGGTGGAAGCCAGCTGAGGTTCTCCATCTGCATTAAAGAGCAGAGCAATCAGTGTCCAACTGCACAGTCCCAGCAGGCAGGATTTCTCTCCAAAATCCTCTGGATGCCTGTTGCTGGCAAAGGGCAGGCAGTGCCTGAGGATGCAAATTTGGGCTGTTAGACCAATCACCCTGTGCTCTCCGAGGGCACAGGCTGCATCCCCCAGACTTGCAGAGCTGCAGACATCCTCAGACGTACTTCCCGCTTACTCCATCTCTGATCAACCCCAAAAGAGCTGTCCTTTCTGTCCAAAATTGGTGTTCCTATACAGTCACATAATCCTACCTTTGAACTCCAAAGCAAATTAAGAGTAGCTCTGCCTTGCACAGCAATAACTCACCTGAAATTTGCTATCTCCAAGACATGTCTGGCTTCTGGCTACCTGACAAGTCACACAGGCATCTGGAGCTCCCTTGTGTCTGCCACCAATGAACTGCTGAGCAGTTCTGGCAGCCCAGCAGACACCCACCAACCCAGCAAGCTCACACTGCCATGAACAGTGGTGGAGATATCCCGAGGTCCAAGGATGCAGGAAAGCTCAGTGGAGAGGGTGTATTCTGCCCCCTCCACATACCCTGGAATCTCTCTTTTGCCTTTCAGGATTACTTTAGGTCTTCAAATGGCCACTTTGGGCAGGTGCTGTCTGCTGTGGGGAACAGATGGAGATGGGAGCAGAGCAGGGAGAGGTAATGCTGTTGCACGTCTTCCTCAGTCCAGTCCTGTTAGGGATAAAAATCATTCGCCTGTAGCTGTCCATATCTTTCCTCACCCTTGTACCTATGGGCTTGCCAAATGGTAACTGAATAAAAAAAACAGATCTATTAAAAAAAAAAAAAGAAAGAAAACAACCCTGCTTATTCACTGCAATTCCAAAACCAAAATGAACAACTCTGTTCCCTAGAGACCTATATTGTGTCTGTGGGTGGCAGTGTCTTTCATTTGAGAATCCTACAACACTATTTTACAGTTGTGGAAACCAAGGTACAAAAATTACATGACTCACCAGGGCCCCACGATCACAAAGTAAGGAAGAGAACTGCCATGCCCTGGTGCTACTAAGATTCACAATCCACTCTCCTGACCAGTGCTATAAGACCAACAGCATAGTTCATCCACTGACTTGGATGAAGATGTTGGCTCCTGGTCATTGGGATGGTAAACCCTTTTACGAGTCCACATTTTCCACAGCTGGAGGCCACCATGCAGGATGAACATCCATCTTCTCCTGCCCATGATCTCAAGTTTATTCATATATATATATATTTTTTAACCCATCCTTTTAACTCTTTACACTAAAATTCAGTGGCATCCTTTGCAGGTGTACAAGACTTAGTATGGCTCATTGCTATGTTGATGCAAATATCAAGTGACACCAGGAAGATCAGAAGGGTGTTTGCATACTCTGCAGGGCACGGTCCTGCCCAAAGGACATACAGTGAAATCTCCAGAAATGTTAGCAGATTAATTATGAAGCCTTTTCAACTTTAGGAGCATTGGTAGTGATAGAGAAGACTTCCAAGCTAGTTGTTTGAAAGCAGCTCCTAGGGAAAACCGTGAAATCTCTTTAACTGCCAGGGATGACAATTTATCTCTGCAACACTTTCCTGGCAGCAGAACAGTGTGAGATCTAGCCCAGATCCCCCTGAGAACCAAATTCCGTGCCTAAAGCCTGAAAGCAAGCAGGTATTTCTTCAACTATTGTTTCCAGCTCCATCCATCTTCTCTTCTTCAGAGCCCTGAAACAAACAACTGAGACTATTTTCATGTTCAGAAGGAAAGATACCCAAGTGAAGTGTGTAATCCAATTAATTTGAGTTTTATTTGACCATGTCAAAATCCATCAGGGCTAGGGAGCGAGATGAAATCAGGAAACGAGCATCGAACAGTAGTGAAGGCATTAACAGTCACAGAGATTTTTGTTTTTAAAGACCAAGTGATCAACAAAACCAAATGAATATCCACTGGGAGGGGGAAGGAGGGTTGCAAACTCACAGGATTTAATTCTTGCTGGAGGAAGGTTGGAGATAAAGATTTGGGTTATAAAACATTCCAGTCAAATATTATGATGATGACAGAGTTACTCCCCACAAATCCACCCATCCTGACATTAGATCAATTTGACTCAAAGTTATTTATGGAAGGTGATTCCATAACTGTGACACAAAATAGAGCTCTGCTCAACAGCCCTGGAGCTCAGTGGCTCCTGATTTGGTCTCGGCAGCACAGGGGCATATATTTACGGGAGATCTGGTGTTGCTTCTTCTGCAACTGCCTGGCCATGCAAAACTCACGCAGGTCAAGGTTTCCTTCCAGGACTAGCTCTGAATGCAACATACTAAGAATAGAGCAGGATTAAAGTATGTTAAAACAAAATTCTCATTTTTTTTTAAGGGTTCCTTCCATATTCCCATAAAGCAGCAAGTAGAACTCAAACCTCCAATCTTTCCCTCTCCTTATAAACAGCGTGAGAACCTGGAGCTGCACAGAACTGTCCTGAGGGAGGCAGGGAGACTTACCCAGCTAGAACAGCCAGAAGGCACAGGCGCAAACAGCTTTGAAGGCAATAGGTATGGTTTTCTAAATGAAATGCCGTTCCCTTTTCCCCCTCCTTTCCCTTAGCTTTGTCTGCTCTGTTCTCCCCTCCTCAGGACCTTTCCGGGAAGGCCTTGCAGAGCAGCAGGCTCTGGTTTGCAGATCTCTGTGCCACGCTCTTTTCACCAACACCATGCTAGGCACACAGGCACATCTTCTTCTGTGCCTCAGTCTCCCCTTGCCCTCCCTATAAACTAGATCAATCTTATTTTATATGTCATTTGCAAACTCAAATCTTTGAGATGTAAGAAAATCAAGCCCTGAACTGACTGTAAGTTCTGTTCTCTTCTCCCTTTTCCCCTGAAAAGTTCCTTAGCTTTAACAGGAGAAATAGAACTGAGGTGAAAGAGGACTTAAGACTACACACCTGATCCACTCATTTTTAAGCAGTGGAGAAAGCAAGTGATCCTTGTAGCAGCAGCGGGGTAGGGCAGTTTAGCTTCTGGCCTATGTCTAATGTTTCTGACTAAAGGATAAATTCCCCCATTATAGGCTTGATTTGTTGAGACAGGATGGAAATGAAGTAATCCTGTCTTAATTTCTTTCTGCTACCTGATCTGGAGAAAGACAACTGGGACCAATTTCTTTACCGCAGCATAGTGAAACTGTGAGAAAATATTTGTCTCCCCATTTTTGGCTTCTGTCTGCTGATAAACATTGCCAACAGGAACTTGTTGCGATTAATAAAGGCACATGCATTAACCATGTTCAGGCGGAACCAAATACTACACTAATAATAATAATCTGATACAGCTTTCTTACATCTCTGTGGGGGCACATGCCCATTACCAGGAATATGCTTCCCTCTGCTGTCAGTAGCTGGAATCTTATGTTTATAATTTTCAGATGTGCTCCATTAAAATAAATAGATAAATAAAACCTATCTGGGATTTACAAGGCTAAGTTTTATCGGTTGGTGAGGATCAGCTTTCCACCCGCCTTTGGTAGGCAAAATCAGCTACCACAAAGACAAAATGGTAAGTTTTATAAGTTTTATAAGAATATGGTCTTGATATTGCACTAATTCTATCATGATCATGTAAATGATGTATACTGGCAGTGAGACTTGTGTTAAGAAAAATTTTGAAAAAGAGAAATTGTCATAGTTTCGGCCCAGATCCTAGGATCTCAGTACACCAATAAAGCCAAGTTGCTCCATTTGTCTAATACAGTCTTTGCTGTACACGCCTACATGACATCTCCATGGGTTACTGCAGAGCCCTGCCTTGTAAGTCTTATGCCCTGAATTGTTGTTTTGCAGAAACAGGATGAACAGGCCCTGTCTACACAACCCCAGCAGACTGCCCTGATGCTTGCATCAGCTTCCAGGTCTCAAGCTTCTCAAGTGAAGCGACCAGCTTAGAGGAGACAACACTGCCCAGCTCATCTACCCACCAAAACCTACGGGAGAGGGCAGGTGGACTCCAAAAAATATGAACTGGAAGTGGAAAAGGAAAAGATTTCTCAGTTTTTCCGATGTGAGGCTTACGTAAAGCTGTCAGTGGTTGGCAGAGGTCACAGCAGGCGCACAAAGAGAAAGATCCTGTGCTGTCTGCTGTGTCCAAGTGCCACTTAGTGTGGTTCAAAAGTAACGCTTAGATTTGTTTAATCAGTCCTCTGCAATATAAACCACCAGGGAGTGTAGAGCTTTCTGCTTCTTAAATGACCCTGATTATAAATCCAGGAGAGAGTTAAGAGCTCAAACAGTCACAGTCAGGTTCTGTAACAGCAGTATTTTAATTCCATACAGGATTAGGCCTTAATTTTGAAACCTCTAGACTATATCAGCTCTCAAGTTCTTCCAAGAGTAGATAAATCAAGCCTCAGCAGCACACACCGCTGAGACAGGGTCCTGGCTACTCTCTCTGCATACCAAGAAATCCATCATAGATATGGAGAGAAACGACAGATCTGCCCAAGGGCTGTAACAGCCACCGTTTGCTCAGGGCCCCCATATTTATGTACAAGCCTGTTGCTGCCCACTGGTGGCAGAATTAATACAGATAAACCTCATTTATGCACTTCCCATTTTGGGACAATACAGAGTTTACCCTTCTCGTGCATCAACTGAGAAGGCCATGCAATGCCACTACACACTTAATTTCTCCACTACCTTGCAAGAAACTTAATTGAAAGGGTGGTTGGAGGGAAGGGACAGTGGCAGTATCAAAACCATCCTTGAGGATCCTTTGGAATAAAACGCTGAATGAAGAACAGTACCATCTGATACAGGGACTATTTAGTGTGATCCTGTGAGGCAGTGAAATGTCTGTAATGGAAAACCTTCTGGTTATAAGGCTCATAAATGCAGCAACTCAGTCTACATTTTGTTAAGAACTTGGGTATTGAACCACAATTAATTTGATCTTGCCCATACGCTCTAAATAATTGAATACAGAACAGAGCTGTTAAAATTCTCTCCAATTAAAAATACATCCGCTCACTTTCAGGAAAAGCAGTCTGGAGAGGAGAGTGGGTGGAAGGAAAAGGAAAGCTCTAGAAAAGTGTCAGACACAGGGAGACTTACTAATCCTTGGTGGTAATTAATATAAGTCATCTTTGAAGCTGGAGGTGAGCAGAGCAGCTGGGGAAAAGGCACAGCTGAAGTCTGGGGGAAGGGAGAGTGGAGACTGAGCAGAGCCGAGGCTCCCGAGGTTTACAAGCCAAGGGGGAGATACGGCTGAGCTGTGCTGTATCGTTATTAGATGCTAGCAACGGAAGACTGTACCGGAAGAAATCAGATCAAGACCAATTCTGAGAGCACTCAGATAAGAGTACATGATGTGCCTTTCCTAGATAGTCTTTTCTTGCCCTGCACAGCACAGATCAAGTAAATAGATATTTTAATCACCATAGGCTCAAAAAAATCCTGTCCCTCTGGCTATAAGGAAGGGATAAATCAGTGCCTTGGTTTGGGCTTTCAAGCCTGCAGTTCTGTGTTTTGCACGGATGCCGGAGAATGTAGCTATAACAAAAAACACAGGTGGGGAAATGCGTCTGCAGGGGCAGGAAAGTAGCTGCATTTAACAGATGCCTGTGTTATGTTATATAACTTCAGCATTGCAAACCTGTGGTACTCATTCACTTCTGGGCAACCCTAACTGCTGTAACACTGCACCAGCGGCCCCAGAAGGTCTCACAACAGCACAGTTTCATTGCAGCAGCATCTAACCAGTCACACATGCTATATATCTCTACCTGCGTTTCACAGATGACACTGCTGGAGCCCTAATGCTTCATTAGGGACCCTCTTCACAGCAGTTACCATAGTCTGCACAAAGCAAGCCTACAGGAGGCTGTGTCACCTCCTTAAAGCTATGTCAAGCCCAGAAAACCAGGCACAGGGAACATAAATCCCTCCTTCAAAGCCTATTCCCTGTGTATGCTTCTTCATCTGTACAAAAATGTGCCTGCCCGTTCTGCTGATGTACCAAAAAATGAGGAATAGAGGAGGAACTTACTTTCTTTTTCAGCTGTAGGCTGGAGCGAGTAGAGAACCCCTTGTTGGAAGGTAAGAGGGAGGCTTGGGGTGGCCGGTGGCCCAGGAGGACCTGGGGGACCCGGGATCCCGGTTTCTCCTGGAAGTCCTCTTGGTCCTTGAGGTCCCAGCAGCCCTGTGCAGAAGCAGGAGAGGATCTGTTAGTACATTTGTGGATGAGCTAATGGACGCCACCATGCTAAAAGCCAGAGAGAAGTCCATCAGCTCTTGGAAAAAAGAGAGTCTAAACAGGGATGCTTCCTCTAGGACAGAAGAGAAAAGCTACCTGAAGAGTTAACCAGCATTGATAGATGTTGTGGAGATGGAAAACATGCAGAGAGAAACCAGAGAGCAATTTGGTCTCAGAATTGTTTCTGTTAAGCAAAAGCTGCTTAACTCTCAGCTGCTTCCAGTAGGGTCTGGGAATATCACAGCCACAGTACACTTGCGCAGAGTATTTCTGTCCTGAACTGGAATTGTAGGGATTGGGACCCAACTAAATAAGGAAAATTGGGAAGCCGTTCCTTTTCCTTTTAGCATCTTCCTCTGCAAAGCGGATGGCTTCACTTGGCTCAGAGGTGTTGCAAAGCTTAATTCCTCAAAGAGTAAAATCCGCCCCCTTCCCTGAGGCTGTAGAAGAAAGTAAAGGCTGCAGGGCTTGAAATCAAGTGCACATCCTTCTCTTCCCTTCCACGTACACCTATATGTCACCCTGCCACTGGGAAAGCACAGAAAGAGCAGCAGAAACCCAGACAGTCCAGGCGCAGACCAGCTCTGCTTCCTTTGGTGTTGGAAGGCTCTTGTTTCAACCTGAGAAACCAAAAGGCAGACACACACCCCCGGCCAGACTTTAGCCATTGTCAGGTTGCCAGAAAATGCCAAGAAGTGTTTAGGAACGCTCTCATATTTAAGGCATGCTCCAAGTTTCAAATTTTTCCTCAGCTCGACCTTGTAAACACATACAGAGCACCGAGGCTGAGGTCTGGCAGCTACTGTGCAGCACTGACTCCACCAAAAGATTCAGGAACATTTTGGGGATGGAGAAAGTCTCCTAGCTCCAGAATGGGTATACTCTGAAAGAATGATCTCATAACCTTTTCACCTTTCCATACAATAGCATCATCTGTTTGACATCCTGCCATCTGCAGTTTGACACAAACAGCAACCTTTTTTTCCTCAGGTGGGGAAGAAGGGGAGTTACAGCAGGCATAGCAGTGAGAGGGTTAAACAGGGAATGCTCTTCTCCAAAGGCTGACAGATCAGAAACCGTTTTTTACAGCTCCTGAACAGGATGGGGAAGCATAATCCTGCTCTGCTGCTTTCTGGGATAAGCTCTCTCCAGCTCCACGGGAAATCCCAGGGAATATCACTGCTAGTGCAGCTGACTGCCCAGCTCTGAGAACCACTAGCTGATTTCAGCGCCCCGGGGACTAGCAGGAATAGATTCAAAAGGAGCTGAAGATGTTCAACTTCTTGTGTGTCCAGGCCTTTTATGATCTATTTGCACTGAGAATTTGCACAAAGCAAAAAGACTGCTATCGTGCTGGCCAAGAGACTCCTCCGTGACTTACCTGGTGGCCCTGCTGGGCCCCTCTCACCAGGTTGACCTTTCTCGCCTTTTGGCCCTGGCGGTCCTGGGAGACCAGTTGGTCCAACTGGGCCTGGAGGCCCCACCTGTCCTGGCAGGCCTGCAAACATACATAATAAAAATCAGGGCTCAGGGATTTTCAGCTCCCACATTTGGATCTGGTTCTCACCCTACCTGTGGCACAGCCTGCCTGGGGCACAAAACTGAGTCCCCCCAGGCATTCATCCAAACACTCTGCACTCTCCAAACAAAGCAATAATTCCAAATTATTAGACCCCTCCCCTCCTCCCTCTTTTTGGTCATTCTGGATATCTGGAGATCCAAATTTTTTTTTCTTACAAAAATGAGATATATCCATCTCTAGTCCATGGGAAGACTGAAAAAAGGATATTTCAAAGGCTTCATGTCCATATGTGTGTGTGTGGGGGGGTATGTGTGTGCATGTACCGATGTTTAATTCTATCAGTACCTTTCTGTAATTCTATCATCAATAAAGGTCTGGTTTAATTTGAGTATTGAACATTGAGTTAAGGTAGGGCTTTCATTTGGAGCAATTTGCTTACCCACAGGACACAAACTGCAGACTTTTCTGTGAGCACAGGGGTTCCTTTAATGGATCTGGGCTAAGAGTTCACCCCATACATGCTGTGTTTGGCAAGTTCAGGCAGATGAGCAGGAGCCCGTTGAAGACAACACCACCATTTCTTCAGAGCATCACAAACAGTTTCTTCCCCTCTACCAAAAAACCCACAAGATACCTGGAGCTTTCTTATAGCAAATCCTTTCTAGCACAGAGGGAAGAACAGCAGAAACACTGACTGTTTTGCAAGCCCAATACACTGTGCTGCTGAGCATGGGTCAAAGCATTTCCTCACTTGTATAAATCAGCCTCAATCATCTAGTTCAACCTTTATAACTCAATCCTGCGAACTTCTGCAGACCAAGAGCAATCGTTTTCTGCTAGCATCCTCAATCATGCTGCTGCAGTGGAACTTTAAAGAAGCTGGCACTTACTTCCCTGAAGGTGGAAAGCGCTAACAGAAAGGCTAGATGATGCAGCGCTGAGTAATGTGTCAGGCAAATGCTCATACTGGTGACAAATGGTGTTACCAGCGTAAAAGAGACAAGTGCAAAAGGGAAAAGAGAGAGGGAAGGATTCAAGGAAAAAGGGGGAGGAAAATGAATAGGCCAAATCTTCAGCTGGCATAAATCAGCACTGCTGCAGTGACATTGCTTTCAGAGAGCTGAAGCCCATGGAAAGCACTTATCCTCCAAAAACATGATAGAAAAAGCTATGGGAAAAATTAAGAAAGGCAGAGGAGACCAAAACAGGCCTGCAGAGTCCTAGATTTTCTTCCTGGCCTTGTCATTAACCTGCAACATAACCTCTGTTCCTCCTTCCTTCCCCAAGGTCTTCTGTATTCAGAGTGGAGCGCATTAGTCTCTACTCATACGGAGTTTAGCAAGGCGATGCCCTGAACATCACTGGCAGCTCTCGGTGCCCCTGGCAGGCAATACCGAAAGGGTAAGAGCGGTGTCTTCTCCCGTCGTGCCGTGCACGCCCCACTCGCTCTCGCTACGTGTCCTTTGGCAGTGCTTTCAACCCGTTGTGCTGGGGGAACTCAATGTCTCAAAGATGATAAAGCTGGGTTAACCTCACTAACCAGAGCAGCCCGTGAACAAATAAAACCCAAAGAAGAAACCCAGCCTCTCTGTGGCTGTGAGGCTCTAGACCGCTGAGGACTCCTGACCACACGACTCTTCTGCTTTTTGGGCAAGATCATGCACAGGGCTGGGCATAGCAACGTTTTGTGCTTTAAAAGAGGAAATAGCAGATTATATTCACTTACCCTGTGGTATTAGCTGTTCCTCTGCACCTCTGTGTCCTTTAGGCTCTAATTAAGAGGGTCAGGGTAAAAAAAAAAAAAGAAAAAGGAAAGGAGAGATATGAAAAATTAGATCTCTTGCTGCCAACTGGCTCAGCCAGAGCATATATATTTTCTTAATACTCAGTAAAATGTATCCTGTTGATTAACAAGCTGATCAGAAAGGCCAGCAGTGCAGCTGTCTCAACAGCTCTGATTGCTTTTAAATGATTGTCTATTCTCAGCCCTGTCAGTTACTGAAGAAAAAGCTACCCTAATAAACAGTAGCAAGTTTTCCTGGACCTCAGCCTGGAAAGGCGTCAGCTGGCTCCGAGCTATCCGGTCATTCGGAAACTCGCCTGCCATTCAAAGCATCAGGTCCCCATTGACCCTCTTGCTGTCAAGCACCAACATCCTGCCCTTAGTTCATTGGTTTTAGAAACTTGGTGGTGTGTAAGCTGGGATTTGGATTTGCTTTGGCTGAAAAAGTAAAAGCAGGATGAAGTAGGCAATATTTCACAAAAAACTCTGGGTAAGGGGATGGGAAGGACAGAGGCATAGCTTTCCACAACCCCAAATCACAAAAAAATACTCAGTTTTGACTTTGACCTCATCTAAGACTGCATTTGTTGAAAGATCTCCCGAGGTCTGCCGTCCCTTTAAGTGAACGTGGGCCAGCTTTGTGCAATAAATTAAAGCACAGTGTTGAAATCATGCAAAAGGGGCAGTCCCCTGCCATGCTAGACCAACTGCCTGAAATTCTCTATGTTTCAGCAAAATCCACAGTGCATTTTTTGGCTGCCTTTGAACTGTAGATACAAACTGACATGGGGAGGGAAGGAAGCCCAATGGGGACCCAAATGCAGGAAATATCCCCAGAGTTCCTGAGCAAAGCAAGGGCTGGATTTTGCAGAGCGTGGGGTTGCAGCAAGGAGGGAGATCATATGTCAATAAACAACTTGACTGATTACTTCCAATTGCTGAAAGACGCTGTCCTGACCTAAAACAGCCCAGTGCACGCCTGATGCCCAGTTATTATGCTGCATTTGCTATTCTGCGCTAGGTTAAATAAACCAAGGCTGGAACAATAAAGGGTAACAATGAGCAAGGACTACACCTGGCACAAGTTTTTTGGAGGTGACCTCTAGCTACCTCCTAGATTTACTGTGGGGTGGAGGGTGCTGATACAGGATCACAGAGTCAGTCTGATGCCACGTCTACAAGAAACCAATTCTACCTCGCAGCGCAGCCTGGGAGAGAGGAAATTCCCCGCTCCTTGCCGAGCACAGAGAGTCTATCATGTGGAGGGAGCCTCAGGGAGGAGAAGACTTTAAGCACGAGGGACAGAGCCATAGTACTTTTGCTAGATTGACCTTAGTACATTGAAGTGCAGGTGCAGAGACACTGCAAGAGCAAAAAATAAAATGACACGGAGAAGGCAGAACGAGCATATAATGGACACCGGGGGAAACTGCTTAAATTCTGTTCCTGGCAGCCGTCACTGTGGTTCTGAAAATACTCTGCAGAACATATTGTTAGTGAACCTCCCTCCATGTTGTGGCATCCTGTCAAATTATAAACATGGATGACATCTGGTCTATGTTGGTTGCTCCAAGTCTGCTGCAGTCAGGAAGGGCTGCCATAATAAACTGCTATGACAAAAAAAAAAGGGGGGGGGGGGGAGAAGAAAAAAGCAAAGCAGGCCCTATAGAGGATAAAAACTTCCCTGGGAGCAGGCAAAGCGACTGACAGACAGCGCTTTGGAAGCAGAGAGCAGGGATCTTGAAACGAGAACGCTAAGGTCAAGGAAATTCAATGCGTAGTAATCTGTCTAGCCAAGTGGGCTCAGAGGGAGATTTCTCATAACTGTATTTTTTTTTCATGCCACAAGAGGGATCATAAAACAGCCCATTGTGTTTATGGTAAATTTAAAAAATACAACGCATAGTGCAACTGATGTTGCTATTCATGGGAAAAACGTTCCTCCTCGTAAAACTAAGAGCTACCCCTACCCCAAACCCCTGCTTTGCCTCTCTGCTCCCTGCCAGGGAAATACGACGTTCAATGCTCAACAGGGGAGCATTAATTGCCCCTCTGCGATCGCCCTGCCTCTCTGGAGTTTCTTCAGGAATGTCTCAATCTGTCTGTGCCTGAAAATCCACAATCTTTGGACATGCACACTGAAAGACATGGGCAGGCGTATTGGTCCTACTGAGGGTAATGGAAATCTCGCCTTCCTGAGACCAGAATTCAGCTCTTAGCGGATTCTTGTGCCAACAGAAATAGAGGCTAGTGACAGACCGTTAAGGCTGGCAAAATGGGGCTGAAAATGTTACGGTCGCAGCTGAGCTGCTTGCTTCCTGAAACATGGCTGCTTTGAGCAGGTTGAACTAGAGGAAGGGGTAGAGACCTGAAGAGAAAAGCAGAAGGCTGCTCTCCTCCCGAAGGGGTAATGCTCACTACTGCAAGAGCCGCAGGAAGAGGCTATGAGGAAATCGTGTTCAGCTCCCTGTGGCTAAACCGATGGTTCGCGGTGGGATCGGTGAGGATTAAATTCCCTCTCTGTCCATGAATCTGCACGCGTGTTGGCGCGTGATCACCATCACGTTCACAACTCGGCAGGGAGGGAGGGACGCGAGGCAGCTTTAAAACCTGAGACTGAATAGTCCCTGGTCTGGAGGAATCCTGGCCATAAAGCTAAATGGTGCTGGTTCTGTCCCTAAAACAGAGGCTGGAAGTTCTCAACATGCCTCTCCGCAGGGTGGTTTTCATGCTGAGCGCGCTCCCGCCTCCCTGTGAACGTTTGCAGCCAGGCCAAAGCTACGGTTTCCCTGCTGAGGGTGCAAAGCGAGCCGCAGCCGTGGAGCCGTTGGTGCCAGCAACGCTGCCTGCTCTGCGCTCAGCACCCAAGGCCAAGAGGCCCGAGTACTGCGGCTTGTATCCACAGCTCCCTGCTGGCTCAAACACATGGGAGCAACTGTCCATACGCCCACAAAAAGAGAGAAATCGCCTGTCTGCAAATCTTAACCCTCTTCTCCTTTACAGAACAGATGGAAAGAGCTGCCAGCGTTTCCCTCAGACTCCTCTCCCATGCAGGTTCAGTACTATGCCAGATCAACACGGCCTCTTTTTTAGATATGCTACAGGAACTGTGTGTGCAGGCTGGGTGAAGAGTAGGAGGTTATGCTTACCAACAGATCCCACTGTTTTCCTCAAAACCGTCCCAGGGTTTAGCAGAGGAAAGGCATCTGGCAGCAAATCGTCATACCACGTGGCCGTGGTCCCAGCGATTGGCAGGTTGTTCTCTAAAGGCGGGCTTCGCTCCGCAGCTTCGAGCAGAAGAATCTAGATAGGAAACATGGGGAAGGAAAAGAGAGTCAGCAGGACGGCTCCTTGCATGAGCTCACTTCTGAGAGGTGCAGAGGTCTTGAGACTCCTCTCCTTGCCAGCAGGAGTGGTGGATAACTGCACATCACAGACTAGGTTAAAGCTCCTTTGGCTTCCTGGAAACTGGCAGTAATTATTTAAGAAGCTGCCGTAATAAATTCCAAGAGGTTCCCACACAAAGCTGTACGCCCTCCTTAGAGAGTGCTTCACGGCTTGCAGAGCTATTCAGCGTCATGCGGGAACGTCTCCTTGGTGAGAAAAGCAAAACCTGGCAGAGACCAGAGCAGGTGTTAGGGGACAGAGTCTGTCTCTTCCAGGTTACCTGTTCGAACCCAGAGTCATCCGGTCAGAAATTACTGAAGGCTGACACAAGCTGAAGGGCAGTAGGATGCCTTGGGTAGGCACTTCAGGACGAGCTCTAGCTGAAAGTCAAAGTCCAAATGCTGGCCAAATTAAAGAAGCTGGAGAACATGAAGCTTTTAAAGAGCTGTTTTAATTTTGGAGTGAATAAAAAAGAGCTAGGCAATTTCCTCAAAGCACTCCACTTAGCAGTAATAGGATATTACTAAGACTCACAACTGTTTCTATACCTTGTAAACATACTACCTTCAAATAAATCCACATCCCAGTGTGTGTCCCTGAGCTATTTATAACCTAAGCGCCTTGGCAAAGTGATCCCATTCCCGCTCTGTGGCTTAGACCGCTGTTCATCAAGCTGGGCTTCCTTGAGACTAGGAGTCGGTCTGCAAAAAGCCTAAGGGCTCACGAGAAGCACAGGGACCCAGAAGTCAGGTGGATTCTGCCCACTGACAAATGCAGTCAAAGATAAGCTCAGGGGAACATTCATTGCACTTTACTATCAATATTTTAAATTTTTCTTAAGATTATGATTTTATAGACGTAATTTTTTTCCCCCACCCTACATGCTGCCTTCCCAGCCGCTAAGCAAGGGTGAGATAACAAGATAGCCTGCGGGTTTTTTTAAAAGAGCCTAACTACCCCTTCAATTACAAACCGATCAGGAGCACCAAGCGCAGGCGGCTCTGCTGCAAACGGAGCGCTACCCCAGTGACTAGACAGGAGCTCGACAGAGGCGAGGGGCAGGGCAGGGATCCACGGCCCCCCCGCCAGCCCTGCTAATGTCCTCGTCGTAAAAGTGAGTTGCTATAGCACTGTCTCGTCTTGTTTGGAAACCACCTAACCAAACAGTGATTTAGGGATAAGGGAAACAAGAGAGAATGTGACTCAAACTTTCCACTAAATCCTGACAATTTGTAGCTACGCCACGTTTGCCTTCACGTAACGAAGTCAGGTCGCAGTTATAAATGAGAGCGATTTGGCTCTGCTTGTTTGTTTTTAATTTGCAATTATTACAGAGTTCATCACTTATTTATTACAAGGCACGGCGAGAGCCAGTATTGCAGTAGAGCTAGAAACGATGAACTTCCTGCAGAACGTCTCAGCCTGATGGGGGGAATCAGACGCTGACTAAGCTAGGAGCTAGATTAAGTGCAGGGGAACTGAACCTCAGCTGCTGCAGACAAGCAAAATGCGTCCTTCGCTGCAAGGATCTTTATTCACGTATCCAGAGTCTTGCTTTCTGAGCGGTAAGAAAGCAAAAAGCAACCAGGCCACAATGACCCCGGCTTTTATCCAACAAGTTTCTCCGACGCTAAGCGTGGAGTGAATTTGTTCACTCTGGCTCCTGCACTCCTCCTCTCCCATTCAGCAATGCATTTGTCAGACTTTGAAGGAAGTATGGTAGCAATTCAACAAGCATGTAACCACGAGTGTGCTTAATCCCCATTGATGTGGGACTCGAGCGTGCACGGAAGACTTCTTCTGAATCAATTTACCCTACTCTACTATCCTCGCGCTTCCCCAGCGAAATGCCTGCATAACATTGCCAAAGCGTACTCTGCAAGAGAGGCAAAACCACTCCTTGAGGTGGCAAAACAGAGCGGGTAGAGCCAGGCCAGGGTTAGGATGCTCCTGCTGGGGCGAACGGACCCGCAGGAGATGTCCTGGCCGGTGCCCTGCCACGGCCCAGGGGCGCTGCGGAAGCCGGTGCCGTTTAATTCCCGGCAGCGGCCAAATCATTTTTATGGGTGATAATAAAAATGTGTTACCACATAATCAACACAAAACAGTGGCAACAGTATCCTTTCCATTAAAACAACATGGTTTAAATGAGTACTCTGCTGATAAATGCTGTAAAAGATTTAAAGGCATGTACAGAATAATCCAGTATGCTCTTTTATAAATTGACTATATATACTTAACAGTCCTTAAAGCGCAAGCCACAGTAACAAGCTTGTTTTCCCTGGGCACAAAGCGATTCAGGTTGGGAAGTCTTTGGACTTGAAATCGCTGAGAAATTCTCGTTTTTATTATGAGAACTGAAGGGGTGCTCAAAAGTAGTAAAACAAAACGAGGACAGTTCTCACATCGGTGGGATCCAGAGGGCCAAACTACAGCAAGAAAAGCATAGGGGATTTAGTCGCATCCAAAATTTCAAACTATACACACTTCTTTCAACAAGGAGCATCCTTCTATAAGCTTGTACAACATAGCACAAATGGGGTCCTTAGACATTACTGCAAAAGCATCAGAGCCATTCATCTATTTTCTGTCCCCTTCTGTTTTTCTTAAAGCTGCCATTGCCATAGCCAAGGCACCCGAGGAGAATTCCCGCTTTCATTAAACAAAAAAAAGGAATTTTCTAGCCCTCTGAGTAAACTGCTGGAAAACGATACCACAGAGGCTCACAGCCAGAAAGCAAATTAGCAAAATGTGTAACGTATTAAAGCCTCAGCATTAAAGTCCTGGTAATTTCTAGTCAACGCGGTTGCAGGAGAGGGGAGGATAAGACCAACTCAGGAAGAATGAACAGTTTTGGTCGGAAATCCTCACTCCAGGCAGTGCCTACCTGCGTTACTATTAAGAGTTACAGGAGGTATTCGGAAAGAAATGGAAAACGGAGGAAGAAACATCCTAATGACACCATAGAAATGATTGAAATATGTCTTGATGCTGTGGGTAATGTTCGTCACCCAACCGTAGAAAGGACAGAGCAGAACTAAACTAGATACAGAGAACTAACTGAAGGGCAGGACCTGCGGTGTCAGGCAGGGCCGACCACTGCAGAAGACAGCAAGGCCTTTTCTCCCAGTCCGTGCAGCATTGCACAAGCTGAAGGATGGCCTCAAGTCAGCAAAACACTTGGGCTCTTGTCTTTTTACACGTACGGAAACAAAAAGTCAAATATGAGCCTAAATGGACTCGCTGAACTGGAGTCTCTGGCAACAGAGGTCCCACCAGCACGAGCACTTTTCTCTGGCTGCCAAACCCCCCGTCTCTGAAACAGGGTCAGAAGGCTGGGAGAAGCATGAATGCTGGGACTGCATCCCCTGCCAGCACGGCAGTGGGAGACAGGCCCGATGGCGGAGATAGCATGCGAGCATGACGGGAATACGAGGGATAACTCCCTGCACCGGCCAAGGAGCTCACAGGCAGGCCAGAGGCAGAGGTTACTGCCTGCAAAACTCAACCCTGGGTCTTCCAAGTCCTGTAGAGCCACTAGGTTCACGTCTGCACAGCATCTGGCGCTAGCTCTTCTCCCATGGCTCAAACCCTGGCTCTTCACTGCGGGGTCCGCTCACGCGCAGGGCCCTCAGCTGGGGCATTAGCATTACATGCCTGGAGCTCAGTTCCAGCTTACTCAGCCCACCTCCCCCCTTCTGTATTTGCCAGCATAAACTTTCTAAACTTCAGACACATACCACATTTCTTGCGTCAGATCAAAAGCTCAGCCCAGGGACAATGGAATTGGGAGGAAGGTTTTCATCTTGAGATGTTCGGTGTCAGTGGAGTTTTTGGCTTGTAGCACTTTTCAGGAACCCTACTTTGGTTGCTCCTGCACATCAAAAGAAGGTTTCACAAACACAGCCTCCTCCTTTCATCTGTCCTCCGCTTGCATTCCTGATGTCCCATAACTAGAAGGTGCTAGAAAAAAGGAAAAAACAGCCGGGCTTCCAAAGATTTCAAAATTGATACAACAGGGCTCAGACTGCTTTTTCCTTCCGATAAAAATCCATGGTAAGGCAGGGAGATCATTTGACATAATCCAGATGGATATTATTAATTGATAAACAGGGGATATTTGGTCTCTCAAAGCACTGACAGAATGAACTCCCCTCTATCCCTTTCTAAAGAGGAGGGAAAGAAACTGTGCATGAGTCCAGCTCATCAGCTAAAAATTCCAATGTAAAATAAGGTTCCCTTGATCTTGTAAAGACACAAGCTGATTAATAATGGTAATTGCATAACATTGCGCATATCTTTCTATACAGCAAATTATTTGGCAAATATAAGAGTTTTTTTAATCATTTATCCAGACACAGAGCTAAAATGGGAGTTTTACAGCATTTGATGGAGCATAGAATCTCTTCTGTAGCATTACGAAACCTGCAAACAGAAGGCTCCAATGTGGACACAATTCTGACTGCTTGGCTTCAAAAGCCAAAAGACACTCAGTAAGTGTCTACCAAAACCTAATGAACCAGGTGCCGAGAGAAAACCTGAGTGACTTCATCCTTATTACATCCTACAGGCTGCGGCCAAAGGGGACAAGATAATCAGTGCATGGAGGAGTTCTCATTATATTGATTAACTGTGTAGGGAGTGATAGTTGATATCATTGTACTGACCCACAGCAGACCAAAAGACAAGGTTTACGTCATCAGCTATTGCATGGAAAATACAAAAATTTGAAGCAAAGACTTCTGCCAGTCGACAGGTAATGCAGTCCATGATCTTCCTGCAAAGACATATTTTTGCACAGATCTAAGGGATTTCTGAAAAGAGGATGTGACAAGTGACTGTTTCATCAATTGGTATCTTCCAGGTAGGAATTGGAGCAGAAAATAAACAAAATCACAGGCTGGCACGCTAGTTTA